GGTTATTTATATTTTTTAAAATAGGCATAATATCTTTATATCATCTCCGTTAAAGTTGGCTGAACAATTGGAAGTATTAATTATATATATACCAGTTTCGTGCTTTATTCCTGCCTATGACTATGAGTACGTATAGTAGTCAATATAAAGGGAAAAATTATTAGCAACGAAATTTTGAATTATCTTACTATAAAAAAGCAACTGAAAGCATTCATTCTAAAAATTTTATATTTCGTTATTTATATGTTATTTTAATCCGTTTGGTAGAATTTTAAAGGAAAGGGTTATTTGCATAGGAAAATTTTTCCTAGAATTGGCATCATGCCAAAATTAAAAATGTTAGAAGAACTAAATATCTAGTTTGTGCTTATTTAATGCCTACCTATTATAATTATTTATTCCTCAATCAGTTTTGCGAACACCCAAAAGAAAGTAAGTTATAAGCAAAATGAAAACTATGACACTAAGCGTGTATTGAGCCAAACTTTTGGAAACACTAATTCTGAAACTTATAGAGCCATTAAGGAGTGCTTTATTAAAAGTAATACATTACTTTTTAGTAGATAGCTTAAAGGGGAAAGTAAATTATTAGCAAAATATGAAAAAAATCGGCATCATACCAGAGCTATAAATATCTAGATTGCATTAATAGTTAGTGACTAACTTATTAATTTAACTATCGATTTTGAAAAAATAGCAAAGTTCAGCATCATGCAAAAACAAAATTATAAAAGCACTGAATATCTGAGTATGCCCCAACATGCAATGTCAGCCCCCCCCCCACTCGCAATTGGATGTAATATCTATACATTGCCTAATGAGACAAAATCCCATAGCCAAAAAGGAAGAATGGCAAGAGCCAAAAAGATCTTAGTCTTTTAATAAATTATAACCATAGTTAATTAACATTGTTAAAATAAATTATATATACTATCAAAATATTTTTAAATATGTCAAAAACTATTTGATGGGAGATGAATATAGCAATGTATAAATTTTATATGATTGCAAGAGAATGCCCAAATTTAATATCTTCCCCTCCTCCCAAATAAGTTGAGGAGTGAGTTTAAAATAAAGGATTAGCTAATAAAGGGCTATAAATACCAATTCGCATCTTCCAAAAAAATAGATTTAATTTAAATACAGTTAAATGGACCTAATAGATTTGATTGGGCAAATTTTTGTCAAATTAGGGAGTTACCAGAATTATCAAAAACCCAAATAAGACAAGTTTTATTGTATTTAAATGGAATATCGATATTCTTTATTCGTATAATTTTAATATATTTTCCAATGCAGTTTGTTTAAAAAATAGGTAATATTAAATGATTTCTTTTGATCTTGGATGATAGTCCTGATTTTTGGTATGAAAATTTATGAACAATATCATGTAAATTAAATTATTTCTTTTGTTTTTTTAATGAATATCTTGATTTAGTAAGAAAATATAAGGACGAAGAATATTTAAATACATACCTTATTCTCGCGATGTTGCATTCACTATAATGCATAAATATAATGTTTTCAATGTACTATATTTACTATAATGCATTCGCTATAAAATTTTCGCGGTAATACGTTCGGGATGATAAATTCGCTGTGATGCACTCCTGATATAGTGCTCGCGGTAATACATTCGGTATCCCGTCATCACAAAGAAACCATTACAGAGAAAACAATTATAGAGGAACCTTTACAGAGAAAACAAATATAAAAGAGAGTGTACACAGAGAAATTTTTATAGAGAAAACAATTATAGAGAATCTCATTTATAGAGATTGTCTTATACAGAGATTGATTTTACAGAGAATGATCTTACAGAGAATGATCTTACAGAGAATGATCTTACAGAGAATGATCTTATAGAGAATGATTATATAGAGAATGATTTTATAGACAATGTATTTTATAGAGAATGTATTTTATAGAGAATGTATTTTATAGAGAATTATTTTAATAAAGCATTTTATTTGAACTATATGATTAATACCATTTGTATAGGAAGTTTATATAAGATAAACCTAGAAATCTACTAAATAACAGCTTAGCAATATTCATTTCGAAATATCAAATAAAACTTAATTCATAAAAAATCCAAATAAACATAGTATAAATAATATACCAATATAAAAAATACAATTATATGATTAAATTAAACATTTAAATTAATATTGTGGGATAAAACCCTTAAATAATCCAGCATGGTTCTTGAATGAAAATCTTCAACAATTGAAAATCCTTTTGGATTTTTCACGATATTATTTCTTTGACAGTGGAGCCAATATTCCTAAAGAATATTGTTCTAATTTGTAACAATTCAGGCTATGAAAAGGTTTTTAAAATTTATAATATAATATAATTACTAACTCTTTATAAATTCCCAGATCGTTGGATGTGGGAACTTATATGAGACGAAAAACTTTGATGCCAGTGCTCTACTGAATAATTGCTATTCGGTTCACGAGATGACGTCGATTCGTAGCAATTCTATAGAGAAATGCTATATATTGGCGACCTCTTCTTCATCGCTATCATTTATCCAATCCACGTCTCTTTAAATTATTCTATCAAGAGGGCAAGAATATTCCTATTTTCTTGATAGAATTCAAAGGCACATCATCCTAGAATCCACATGAATTATATCCTCAACTGGTTCATATGCCAGTGACAATAACATTTTTATGTATACATAGCAAAATTTGTTTGTGTTTTGTATGCATAGCAAATTAGCGGATTTTTATGAACCATGCGCCATATGCATTACGACATATGAAACAGGCACCCGTTCATTGCAATCAATGGAAACAACTGTTTAAAAGCAGATAACGCTGCTAATTCAAAGTCGATTATGATAAATTTAGGATTTAAAAAATTTGGAAATTTTTTATTTAATTAAAAATATTAAAGCAATATTGTTGGCGACGGGATGTCATCAGAACGTAAGGTGATAATGGTTTTATGTTTCATCCCATGGATGGTGTATATTTGCTGGAAGAGAGGAGGGCATGTCTTGAATGTGTCATCTGCATACCATTTATCGCATGTTGATAAAAATTGTAAATTTTAATAATTACACAAAAATGTTATATATTACATAGATATAACATTTGTTATAAAATAATCATATTCTTTAAATAAAATTCTTTATAAAATAATTCTCTCTAAAATACATTTTCTATAAAATCATTCTCTATAAAATACATCCTCTATAAAATCATTTTCTATAAAATCATTCTTTGTCATCCTCTATAAAATTATTCTATGTAAAATCATTCTCTGTAAAATCTTTCTCTATAAAATTATTCTCTATAAACGACATTCTCTATAGAGATCTGCAAGTTAAGCCCGGCCCGTACCCGAGGGCCTAATTTTATTTAATATAATCGGGTTCGGGCCGGACCGGGCCTAATATTTTTTAAAAAAATTTGGGCCGGGTCGGGTAGGACCTTGGAAATTTTTTTAAATATATCTAAATTTATCAATTTTATATTGAATTTTTTATGTTTGATTTTATTTATTGAAACTAAGCGACATATAACATATGTCTTTTATTTTGAGTAATTATAAAAATTAAATATTTAAATAAGTTCGGGCCAGGCCGGGTCGATAAATTTTTTTAAAATAAATTTCGGGTTCGGGCCGGGCCGGCAAAACTTTTTTAAAAAAATTTCGGGTTCGGGGCGGGCCGGCAAAACATTTATAAAAATTCGGGCCGGGCTTGAAAAATTAGGCCCGATGCAGATCACTTCTACAAGTGCATTCTCTATAAACGTCATTCCCTATATAAAACTTTCTCTATAAAATTTTCTCTCTAAACGACATTCTCTATAATTGTTTTCTTTATAAGTGCATTCTCTATTTTTGTTTTCTCTATAAATTTTCTCTGTAAAATACATTTTCTGTAATGGTTTCAATACTTCGCTGTGGAAAGAGTTTTGAAGTATTTATCTAATAAGTTGGTGCCTACATTATTTTGGAAAAGAAAAATATTATTGTCGCTTCAGATACGATATTGTAAAATTTAAATTCTCTATTAGATGGGTTTGATATTATTATATTACATTTTTTTTAGTTTATTATCTTATGCATACATTATTTTCCATAGACTAAAAAAAGATATGATCAACTTGCCATAAACATTCCTAGTCATAGCTATCGTTGATTATTACCTTTCAGTAAAAAAATTGAGGCCTTTTAATGAAAACTGCAGTAATTTTAGAAGTAAGATCTCTCATATTACTTCTGATCTTAGTCCCAAGATACTACGATAATATTTTCAATACAAATTTACCTTCCTCCGCTCCTCGATCGCTTATTTTCATTTAAAAATTTAAAAAGACCAATAGGAGGCGTTGAAAAATTAGTCCTTTAATCATATGCTTAAAAAGATAATCTTATTATTATGTTAGACAGATATGAATAAACTAACTTCCTATCTTTTTTATAGACTTTACAGAGAAATGGATCAATTAAATTCTTTATAACATTAATTAATTTTTATTTATTCTTATTTTTAATAAAATGACAAAGAGCTCTTGCAATCGGTATTCTAAATAATGTTGACAACATAACCCTTTTAGTTAATAGTACTTTACTATATTTACTCTTTTAATAGCGATAACCCTTCATATTTTCAAGTAACCTGCCCAACCCTGCTTCATAACATTATCAAACTTTATCACAATCACATATAAAGTGTAACTTTGTATAATCAACTATTTAACTCTTTAATATATTAAAACAATTTTTTTAACACAATTTATTTTGAGTTTAAAATATTTATACCGTTGGGGATATTTGTCTTTTTTATCTAATACGTAAGAAAATTTTTATATTCAATTACACTTTTATTTTTTTTTAAAAAATCTCTCAAATAAAAAAAATCTTCAAATGATTAACATTATTCCGAAAGCATCACCTGTCTTTCAATTATCTTCCACATTCTTTCAATATAAATCATTAATTATGAATAGATATTAAATATTCTACTATTCAAGTAAATGGAAACTTTTATTGACAAAACTGGTAATTGTAAATTAGTTAGCATTCCGATTCAAGGTAAAGTTTCCTCAACAACAAAGCTATCTACAGGACTCAGACCCGGATTTTCCACCCGCTCTAAACGAAGACAATCTCTATTAACCTACCCAGCCCAAGATATTTTGGTAAATCCGCACCCTCCAAGTTTTTTGGTTCGAATGGGTAAGTACATAAAAGCATTCTATATGACTACCCTAGGTATACAATTTACGCTCATTCAGTGCCTGAACACTGCCGTGGCTTCCCTATTGATTTCCTATGTACATAGCGTTTCACCGTTAGAGACAAGCCTAATAAGACTCATTCTGCAGCTATTTATTAGTATACCGTCACTCCTGTATTATGGGGATCCCTTTTGGCCTAATAAAACTGAGTTTTGGCCCATCATGATTCGGTCTGTTACTAGTACCGTAGGCATCACCTGCATGATCTATTCTTATGCCTATATGCCAATTTCAGATGCAAATGCTGTCACGCGTACCTCACCTATATATGTTATTTTACTCGGCAGGTTATTTCTTCCAGAAAGGGTCTTTCCATTTGACTTGGTGATAATATTTGTGATGTTGATAGGCATGATTCTCATAACCCGCCCTGATTTCTTGTTCGGCATATTGCCCGGTGAAGCTGGGAAACTTTGGCCGCAAAAAAATATTGGCATCGCCTTTTCCATGTCTTCCGCCATTACTATATCAATCTCGATGATCTCTATCAAGATGGCTCGTACACCTCTAGCTCTCAACATGTTCAATTTTAGTGTGGTGGGGATAGCTATTTTGGTATGCGTAGGCGTACCCCTAAAGCTTTTTGTATGGCCACCCTGTTACGGACCCGATAAGTGGTACCTTTTGGGTGCATCTATTTGTGGCGCCCTAAGTCAGGTTTTTCTTTATCTAAGTCTAAAGTATGAAAATGCCGGCATAGTTGCCGCCATAAATTCAACCGCAATTCTTTACAGCCTCCTTCTTCAGATTATATTCCTCAAACAAGTACCCATGTGGAACAGCTGGGCCGGGGCAGCAATTATAACGCTTGCTATCGTTGGTTATGGGCTTCGTAAGTGGACCATGAACAGAGAAAAGGGTCCTATGATATCTAAGCATATTTTTTAGATTTCCCTTATTTTAATTATATGAGATTATTCAATATTTAGCAAATTCTTTAAATTACATTTAACTGATTGATTTATAAACTAAGAAAGAAAAATTTAATATATTTTTTGTATAAACAATCGTTTTTGTTTTATTTTCTAAATATTTTTTAAAGTATTATTTTTCAAATAATCAAAATCTATCTAAATAAGACTTTTATTCTCTAAATATTAGAATGTTAAATAACTAATAATTTTACAGCAATCAAATAAATATTAATCTCAATATCGTAATTCTTGTTTCTTTTATTATAAAATATGGATTTAATTTTTTTAGAAGGTTTAAAATAATAGAGTGAGAAGCAGGGATGTGAACCCTCCTTCTAAAAAAATGGGTCAGATTTGGGTTCAGGGAAAAATCTTTGAACCCGGTTAGGGTTAAGGTAGGCTCAGGGTTCGGAGACCAGAAAAAGAATGTCTTGTTAAAATTAGTTAAAATAGATTTTTTTTTAAAATTTATTTTAATTAGTATTGCCATAAAAATAATTTATCATCATAATTATAATATATTCGTGATTTTGTACTTTGTCTTACTATCAATTTAATAATCCACAAAAAACAATATTTTAAAATAGATATTATTATATATTATCATCATTTATAAAAAAAACTTGTAAAATCTGCTTTGCTTGGTAAAATTTAAAAATTTTAATGCCCGACTCTTAAAAATAACAAAAATTATTCCACGAAAAAATTATCAAAAAATGTTTTTTTAAATTAATATATTTTTTTGAATAAAAAACAATTGTTTTAAATAGGAACTCTTTTTAAATAGGAAATCTTTTATAAATGAAAATCGTAAATTACATGTATTTTATATATTATTTTTAACATATAATATAAAAAAATAAATTTTACAAAAGGCTTGGACCCTGAACCCTAAATTTTAAAAAGGGGTTCGGGTTTGGGTTCAGCGAAATATCGAGGGTTCTGATTTGGGTTCAGGTTCTCATCCCTGGTGGGAAGGATAGACGCAGGAAAGGCCACATTATTCTAAAACTTGCAATTAACGCTACCAAAAAAATATTGAGGATAAGTTGTAGAGACAAAAATGTAACGACATTACATAGAAAAAATCATGGCTATAATAACTATTAGTTTCTAATTAAATTAGAATTTTTTTAGTAAAAATCAGGAAAATTTGTAATCAAAGATGAAAGATAATAAGATAATTGATATTTAATTCTATAAACTTGTTGGGCTTACATAATTTGTTTTGTGCAATTAGTAACTAATTAATTCGGTTCCATGTCAATTTAGCAAAACTTTTATCGCGAATTCACATTAGTGAATACTATTCCACGAAGACATTGTTAAATAAATATCGCGAATTTTTTGTAGCGAAACCCTAATCGCGAAGCTAAACTTTTATCCCGAATCAATAATAGCGAAAATTTTATATCCAAGTCATTATCGCGAAACTGAAATTACGAAAACTATTTCGCGAAGATATTATAGCGATTTTAATATCGCGAGTTCAATAACGCTTGTGACTATTTATTTAGAAACATTTATTTTTTTGATCATATTAATTGAATAACATTTTTTAAAAAGGTACATGATTGATTCAATGATAGAGTTTTTAATCTTCTTTTAACCTTATAAATTTATAGAATATGGATTTGGTTTATAAAATTTATTATTGAAATATAATTTTTTTGCAATCCTGTCCTATGCTTTTTTTTGAATTTATATTTTATAAGAATCGCACAAAAGTAACTCAGACTTTATTAATATATTAATCACTGAGTTCAATAGTTAAACCTTGATACTTACTGGTGAAATTAATATTTGGGATGCCCAATATTTATTCTGATGAGTACTTATTATTTATAAATTCATCAATCAGTTTACCAGTTACTAACCAAAAGCAGTTGTAAGCTTAAAAAATTACTCATTAGACTCACTTTATCAAATTTTAAATGGCGATTCAAAAAAATATTTCTATCTGAGTAAAATAAGGGATTCTCTAATTCAAAAAATTTTTGAATCTTATGATTTCACAATCTTTATAGATATTTTTTATCTTTTCTGTTTACTTAAATAAAAAAAATTAGTTATATTTTCAAAAAGATAGTAATCTGAATCTAATTTTAAAACTATTATATCAGAATGTTATATCGAAGTGCATTATGTAAAATTATAAGGCATGTAAAAAAATGTGGCATGAATATATATGAAACTTTTTTTTATATACATTATATTAGAAGTTATATAATTTTTTTAGGTTTTATCTCTGGGTTCCGAATAAAGGAACAATTTTCTAGAGAAACAATTTTTTTTAAATGAGATTCGCTTTTATTATTTACACAACAATTTAGTTAAATCTTTAAAAAAAATTAACTCGGAAAATTTAATAATAAAATTCTGAGAAAATTAAAAATAATTATTTAGCAAAATCTTCTATGATAAAATAATCTGAGAACATCATTAAAATTTTTTAGCTTTCAGTATTTTTTATCTTGATTGGAAAGATATTTGTTAAAATATACTTTTAATGGCATAAGGCACATTTTTAAATTTATGTTAGGGGGGGCTAATGTTCCATCCGTACTTACAACCATGAGTGAGAGAGACCAGAAAGGCTAATTTATTTTACATCATATCAGATAATGATTGCATGCTTAATAAGTAACAATATATCCTGAAAACATTTTGCGTTAATGATTTAAGAAACTTTGCTGGGTAAATTAATATTGAATATGTTACTATACTTTAAATAAATGAATTCGCAATATATTTACTGTTTCGCAATAATGCACTGGCAATAATCGCGTAAATAATCGTGGTAGAAAATTCGCTATAATGGGTTAGAGAAAAAAGTTTCACTAAAATGTATTCGCCGTTAAGGTTTCGCGAAAATAAATTCGCGATTACTGTCTTCGCTATAAATGTTTTGCGGAAAAAATTTTGTGTAATTGGTTGCGAAATATTGCCTTCACTATAAAATTCCTTCGTGATAAACGACATTCGCGTTAAAAGTTTCGTGAAAAGGTGTTTCGCGATAAAAGTTGAGCAATTGACCTTATTGATATGAATTAATTCGAAGTGAAAAAAACAATTAATAATTATAATTCATTATAATTTTCAGGCATGTAATTAGTAGTTGTAATTCCTTTACATTTATAATTCTTTTTTTTTAATTTAAAATTTTTTTTATGAAAAACGATTAATAAATGCAAATACTCATTCATATTTTTAAAAAATTTAAAACGATTAATAATTTTCATCATTTATATTTTAAAATTTTTGGTAATAATATATGAAGGATTCTGAACCTTTGATAATACTGAAGATAACTCCACTTATAGTTCTCCTAATACAATTTCACATTCACTGGATTTTTATGTTAAATATATAAATTTTAGAAATAAATATATTATATCATCAAAAGCAAATAGTCAACAATTAACTTTAGCAAAGGCATCCAAAATTCTTATAAGTCATTAGTGGTTGTCAATTTTGTTATTAAAAGTCTAAACCTGAGTGTCACCTAAGATGAAAGAAAATTTAATAGAAATACAAAATTTTTTCCCGTGTTCTTACACATTAAAGGCTCTAATTATCAGATTTAATAGAAGATTTCTTAGTTTAATTGCAAAGCAATTTTTTAACGATTATTTCATAACCTTAAGGTTAGATGTAATGTTAATTAGTCTTAGTCGAGTAACCCAGCCAAAAACTAGAGCAAATTAGTTATTTAATTTAGTCGACTTGCTTCTCATTTTTATTTTTGGTAGAATATTTATTTTTCGATTTCAACAATGCCTTTGTTCCCCTGTTTTGCAATAAATATCCCGAATACTCTTCTTACATCCTCCACAGTTATTCAAGTCCCACTTTTCTAAAATATAATAACAACATAATCAAATCTCAAGAGGGAATTCAACAGGGATACCCTTTAGGCCCAGCCCTTTTTTGCATCGGGATCCACAGGATAATTCAGTAAATTCAATTTAAATCTTGCCTTACCTTAAATTCCAAGGATCTAGATGATGGCATTGTCTCGAGCAACCTTCCCACAATAATGTCTATTCCCCTCATTATTGGGAATCTCACATATTACAGGGCTATCACTCAATCCCCTCAAATGTTTGCTTCTTAGATCCTACATCCATTCCTTCAGACTTGACATACCACGTCATCAACAGTGATGAGATGAAACATCTTGGATCACCCATAGGGGGTAAAAAGGCAATCAAAACTTCTCTAAATAAATCCTTTAGCAATTTATCCAAATTAAACACATTACTAAATTACCTTCCCGTCCATCAATCTTTTTTTTTAATAAAAAATTATTTCAATATACCTAAAATCCTCTACGCCCTGAGACCTTTTCCGATCTTATGTAGCGACTTGCTAGTTTCCCATGAAATCCAAATCAAGGGCCTTCTCGAAAATATATTAAACTTAAAATTTTCCAATTCATCTAGGCTTCATGCCTGATGGTATTAATATCCAATCCCCCGATACAATTATCTCTCTCAGCCTTTATCTCTTCCCGTCTGGCTGCTCAATCTATTATCGATAACGGATCCGCTCCTTTTGATTCTGAACTTTCTCGGGACCTTCTGGGACAGCAATTGCCCATCCACCATTTGTCGTCCTGCTTCCAGCATTTAAAACTGGGATGCTCCTCTGATCGCCCGTTCCGTTGATTACCTAATTTCTAATAGGCCCTTTAAGAACAACCCCAATAATTTAGTATTATATGCAATATGGTTGGAGACCATCCCCAGTTCCAACCTTAGAGTTAAAAATTTTGAGGAAAGATGATAATTAGTTAGATAATAATGAATAATATACGTTTTATATTTAACACTATTTTCTTTATTTTTCAATAATTCCATAAAAAATATTCCAAGTATAATTTTCGTTTTTCAATATATCTATAAAAATCAATTAATTCCATCTCCATTTTATAAAATCCCCTACTGAATCAAATTATTAACATCAAATTAA